CGCCATCAAGCCCACTACACCACCACAGTATCTCTCTGCTTAGACAAGCACTTAGGCATTAAAAGAAAATAAATATAAAAATACCCCAGTGTTCGTTCCAACACACTCGGGTGGCTGGAGCTTTAACAACCTCTCCTCCAGCAGGTAGGTGCGTTACACTGGGTTCATCATGACATGCCGCAACACGTGACATCTCCTACTTGAAGCTCGGCGTAAGACCAGAATACCTGGTCTCCATCACAACTGTCATTAACATCAAAATAAACCACACTTGCCCTTCACTTTGTTAACACAAAAGCGATACTGAAGGTGATGGATGTAATTTAACTGTGGGCTTAACAAATCTAAGCAGTACTAGAAAGTTTTACACTTAATGTGGTACAGCTGAAGGGCATCACCATCGAGAAATTTCTATTATTTGCTACATGGAGGCAGGAGAAGGGAATGGTTTAAACTTGTATGGATTGTGAAATAACAACAGCCCACGCGCAAAGCTGACTGAAAGTGTTATCTTCTCTGAATAAAAGGTTGTATGGCAATACTGAAAGTGAGCAACCCAAAATGCAGCTGCAGAGATATAAGTCTTAGAGCTACCCAAGAAGCTTCACTGCTCCTCTACTCTCTACCTACAATAGGTGGCACGGGAGCTGAAGATTTCAGGCACTGTGAATTCTAAAAGTACAGACAAGGGTTCATAAAGCATAAAGTAGGATGCAAAAATAGTCCCACGTCTCTGTAATGAACACAGATCTGCATGAGCATCAGCAACGCGGTACCTATATGGAACGGCTAGGCAAGGAGATGCTACATACTAGATACTACTGATGAAAGCTTGGAGAGACATCACTTCTAACACCAGCTTTTTAAGCACACAAACTATATCCACAAATTCAAATAGAGTCCCTAAACAACACGCTGCCGTTTTCCTTTGGACAGCAGAGAGACAAGCACATTACTAAAGGAAGATCTGGTTGGTTTTTGGGAGCTACTTCACTGATCCATTCTAAGCTAAGACTGAAGTTACTAGAGGTTGGGAACCTAACTGCAGTCAACACTGCCATTTCACGTGCTTAATAAAGGAAAGTCAAAGAAAAAAAACAAGAAAAACACTGAAGCACAGAAGGATCTTTCAAGAACACACTTATTACTTCAGCCCCCAGATAATCTTTGCATCAGATGACAGTGGTTCACCCACCTAATGCCCCCAACCGCAAACACTACATGAATGCAGGTGTGGGACTGAAGAACAAATTGAGTAAAGCTAAGTAAGTGGCAGAAATAAGGATGGCAACAAGAGAAACACACACCTGGGAAGCACCACACTTGTGGCATCATGTTCAGATACAGGCAGAAAGTTAAAATTCAGCTGTCTGAGCAAGCATTATCAGTTGTCGCAGAGTTCAGATTTCACAAAGTTAAGTGTAGCTTTTAATGAAGGAAAGCATTTTCTCCTTTTCCATTTTCTTCCCATTATGAAAGGACAAGTGCAAAATTCCTTCCTCACATTCAGTAACTTAGAGGTGCTAATTGGAGTCAAATGACAACTAAAATTCTCCTCAGTTTTTCTGCTCTCCTAAGTAACTCTTATCAGCAGATTTTTTTTTTTAAATCAAAACCACTGACAATAAAAATATCTTTGCGTTCCAGGCCTTCCTAAGATATGAAAATGAATAGCTATATACTGCAAGATGCACTACAAATGTTCAAACGTTTGTGTGCAATTTCAAAGCAACTGAGCACCAGCAGCTCTCACAGACGGCAGCTGGCGCTGAAGACATTGATGGTCTTAAAAAAACCAAACCCAAAAACTCAACACAAAGACTCCGTGACCCAACACATCTTAGAGAATTCTTAGAGATGTCTACATAAATACAGTGCTACCATCAGTTTGTTAAATGCCTCTGAAAATAAGACAAGCAAGGTGCTCATATATGGAGTTTAACCACCCAAGCTTGGAAGACGCACCTCTAACACGTAGGAATTCTAAAATTCCAGTCCCGACAGAAAGCACAGATTCACGGAAAGAAAGAAAAAAGGAAAAAAGGAAAACAACACATGCACACACACCACAACTTCAGATTACTTTCTTGTCGGTTTTGTGTCCCATTCACAATTTCAGAGACAGAATGACAATGTTTTGTGTTATCGTAACTCTCAGCTTCTTCCGAAATAAGGGAAATGTCTGAGGAAAAGACATTTTCTAGCCCCAGTAGGAACCCAATAAAATCCCTCACAGTGAATTCTAATCAGGCACCAGCAGCACAGCCAGCTGATCCGCAGCGAAACGAGTATGACAGACTGGAAGATACGATGTCAATGGTAGAAATTACTGCAAGTATATGAATTACATCTGGAGAAGGGAAAGAAATTGCATAGAGTTTGACAGTACGTGTAATCTGTCTTAAATGATACAAAGTAGAGTCATTTGAAAGGATTAAAATATACCTTTAAAGTTTACCATCTTTGAGAAAGCTGGGCCAGGCTCTGTATTTCGCTTCTATCTGTGATTTACAGAGTCCTATTATTTGCTAGTCTTTCTCCAATTTGTCTGCCGGATCTGATTACCAGATGGCTAAAATAAATGTATTGTGTTCTTTCATGGTAACAGAAGTTGTCTTTAAGGGTTCTGTCACGGCTTCACTACCTTTCCCTTTGTACCCACTCCTCCCTCTGTGAATTGATTAGATCTCCGAGCTGAGTTTCATCTGAGGGCCATTCTGCTGAACGCCGCATTGAAAAGCCATTATCTATTCTAGGAAGCACATACAGATGACCACGGGGTATCACAGACCGGTCCTGAAGCAACAACTGCCCTACTCCGCCAAGCAAACAGATTGATTGATCATCTCAGGACACTGACTTCCAGAGTAAGTATCTGTCACTACCATACGGTCTAAAGCAATCCAAGAAATAGGTGACAGCTGGATAGAAAGAAGGAAATGAAAAGCAACATATGCATAGTGCAAAGCCAAGGAAGGTACGAAGACAGACATCAGTAGACAAATCAATGACTTGGAGAGCTACCCTGCACCTCAGGAGCAGTAATTGTTCACTACGTGGTTTTGTTTAATCTGGTAAACCGCTACAAACCTGCAAGCAAAGAAGCTTAATGAAAGAAAAGGGCACGAACGCACTGCAGCAGGAGGGAACGCGTACGGTTCTACACATTGCCCCCTTCCCTTAAGTAAAGTTACACATGCAGTTTGTAATCTGAAGTGATAACACTGTCCCAGAAATCTCTGAGATAAGCCCATGCTACAGGTGTGAACGAGGGTCTTTGCCCATCAGATCTCCTACAATCAGATGTTTCCCTGATCTGAATTCCATTTTGCAAATATCTAATGCAATTTGTTCGCACTTCAGCGTTATTTATTTATCCATCAACATATGTGCATCTTGGGTTTTATTTTCATTTTCCTACAATAACTCTCTGTCTCTTAGCCAAAGCTTGGATGTCGTAAACTGGCACCTGAAGAGCAGCGTTTAACGTATATGAAAATCAGTGTAGTGAATCACCTAGTCAAAATTTAAGCGATCAAACTGACTGAACACAGATGAGTGGCTTCAGAAGTCAAATAAGATGAAGGCTGTATCTTAAAAAACCCAAACCTGTTTTTCACCTCATGTAATGCTTCCCACTTTTCCTGAAGCATCTCCACTAAGTTTAATTTTTATAAATTGCATGTTGGAAACTTCATTGTTAATTATATATAAGCATGGTAAAATTTTACACAGCTTAGTGCAGTATAGCTTTTGGCAATATTTGCCATTCTTCTTCTTTATTTAAACTATACTCTTAGCTTTTCAACATTTTTTTAGCCAATAGCATTAATTTGGAACATTTTTTTAGCCAATAGCATTTGGAACAGACTGAGGTGTACTTATTGGGATATGAAAACTCGAAACACTTGAAAAACAGAAATAAAAAAGGAGTAAACAATACAGCTATGTATTTTTTTTAACAGCAACATATGGTCATAGCAGTGGGACCTATTTTCTTTGTATACTGAGAAGGTTGTAAGTTTTTTTTGACAGTGATAAAGGGGCAGTCTTGGCCATACACAAGAATCAATAACAACCATGTAAAGCCTACAGCAGTGCACACTAACAGGCTGCAGGAGACGTTAACACTAGCTAAAAGAAATAACTGTATTTTCAATGAACTTGTTCCTCTCGGATAATCAATTTTTTACACTTCTTACCAGCTGTTCCCACATAGCTCAGGTAGCGGCATGGAAGCAGCTGTCGTACCGAATCCATATATTACATGCATGTTATGAGGTTTTAATCTGTCATAGATGTTTTACGTTTGCTAATTTTGATCAGTCATATCAACTCGAGAGCAAGATGAAAACAAATTCACCACTTCTATTTAGGCAAGATGTAATCTAAACAAATACACTCATCTGGCTTGATTCATTCTGGATGGGAAAAAAGAATACTAATTGTGAATCTACTAATGCCCCATCCTCAGAACCCCTTTATTCCAGAAGTAAGATTTCGTCATTAAAATCAGTTTGCCCCACCGCCCACATTCAAGAGATTTGTCACAATCATTGTTTCTGAAATACTGAGTTATAAGGTGCCGCAGTAATTACTATGGAATAAATAGCAATTAAGATTGTTCACACAAATAAGCTCAAACTGTTTGCAGTGAATAATTATGCTAATAGTGTTTTTCTACATAATTTGTGCATCCTTCACAACAATTTACTAGAAAATGTGAAATGTAAATTTGATGCACTACTACAAAAGCTCTGAAAATGTTTAGTTCTTACGATTTTTTCCCACTAATTTAAGAAAGCACACAACTAAAAGATACTTCTATATTTGCAGATTTAAATTCGAAGAAATCAAACTATGCTGAAATTGAAGCAGTTGTTTTCTTTCGTTGTATTCCTACAAAATCATCCTAAACCATACGCAACAGATATGCTCACTGCTTAAACCTCACAGTGTTGTAACGTAAATTATAGCAATTTGAAAGAAGCTGAACTTACTGCTATGTAATAAACTTTGGCCTTTTCCACCAACTTCCAGTTCTTCTCCAAATCAAGATGCTTTTCCTTCTTATAGCAATTAGCAGCAGCGAGGTTAGCTACAAGAGACCTGAAAGTGATCAAAAACCAGGCATTAGATCCTCTTTAGTTGACACCACTGCAAATTTCTCACAAGGAACATAAAAACAATTAACAAAGAGCATCATGAAACACCTATACTTTATTTGACCATTGCATAATATTTAAATATGATTTAAATTAACCCAAATATTAAATAACATGTTCTAAATCCAGCTCTACAGTTTATGTAACCTATCACTACCACGCTGTTCACATTCCTTCATTTGCTTAGAATCCATCTTTGCTACAGTTTGTGATCGAACCCCTTGGTACGGCAGAGCATCTGCAGATTGTCAGTAAAATTCTTCTGGTATCTAACACCTAAAGGAAAGCAGCTACTCCGGCTTATCTTCAGAAAACTGTTTTCCCTCACTAGAACCAAGGAGTTGATGGATATGTATGTCTTGCCTTTGCCATTTTCCAACTAATAGTTAGATTATTTAAAAAGGGGGTGGTTTGGGGTTTTCCCCCCATTAGGTTCATATTTTCCTTTGGCAAATGAAAAAGGGTCACGTTGCTACTTCAAGATGAACTGTTAAAAAAACAGCTTTGGCTTAGCTGTGTATTACTAGAAAACTACCAAAAACTCATTTCTACTTCATTCTTTCCCAACGAATTATAACACAAGCCATGGGACACAACTTCTAATAGCGAGAACAAAAATGCTTGTATCCTGTTTGCTTTGTTACATGTAAGATACATTCCATTTTAAATCCGCCTCTTCACCCTTGCAGTTCAGCCTTACGAAACACACAAAACTTTCAGGTGTACTCCTAAACACAGGTCATACAAAGATGGTTATGCACTCGCTCTCCACTCTGGCTACCATGACCAAATCATTCTGTGCAATTTTACTATGAGAACATTTAATAACATCCAATATTTAGAGAAGCGGAATTGGGGAAACAGACATTTCTATGCTGGCATACAGAGTTTTAAATTTAATTTTCAAGATGTAATAGTCATAGGGTGCACTTTTAACATCAGACATCACTGTTTTGTGATATTTAAGTACATTAGCTAGATAAATAATGTGCAATTACAGATACAACATATGGCTATTGAAAACTTTAGCCTTCTCCAACACGCATACAATTGATGCTGTATGTATCATCCTTCTCCATATAGATGCTTCTACAACCCAGAGACCATGGGACGGACTGAACTGCTGGTCTGCTTCTACCGAGTTATGCTGCTGCCTCTAGACTGAGGACCAGCCACAGGTGTTCGGAGGCCAATACACTAGGAATTCTTGAAAATTCATTCCACCTGAAAACAGTCTCTTAGCACTATCAGCATTTCTCTTTGTCCTATTCAATAAAAGACAAACAAAAGCCCAAAATGATCCCTTACAAAGACAGCAACCAAGTCTTCTTGTAAACTTCCTGAAGCACTCATCACTGACAAACCTTGTGACTTCAACAATTCAAGTACAGAAAAATAAAAAGTGAGATTAACTTTTTCTGCATGTATCACAACACATAGCACAGTTCTGTGTTGTTTCATCCCCAGAATATTCTTGGCGCCTATCTCTAATTCTAAAGCCTAAAGGCAAAGAGAACGAATGTGAATTTGGAACGTTAAAAATAATTACCAACAAATAGACCAAGTCTCTGTAGCGGCATAAGTAATGGGGCAAAAAGTCTAATTCTTGATGAATGTTATCATTTCAATGACAAGAAATACACAGGAGAACTAAGTAAATCCCAGACAGGAACGTGCATAACTACAGCAATCTTCTGTAAACCGAATTTAAAAAGCAAATTAAATCTTTCAGTTTTGGCAAATCCTAAATATCCATCAAGGACCTAGCTAGAAAAATATTGTCTGTCTACTTATGTTGCTAAGGGAAAAGCAATTATGTTCCAGAAAACTAAGCAAAGACTCCATGTTTCCTTTCACTTACCACATGCCCCTGACACTGCAGACCTCGCTCTCTGTGGCTACACCCAACTGCAGAGGCACTCTGCACGTGGTGCGTAACAGAAGACAGTTACACTGAAGATAGAGCACCAAGTTTTTCCCAATTCAAACTGTACATCTACCAGCACTAAGGCCAACAAGCGGGACACAGACAATGTAGACGATGTGCACGTGGGTGTTTCTCAGCAGAATGCACGAATCAAACCCACAGATTATGCTGGAGTGTAGGTACCACCTTCAGAGTTCGCTCATATGTTAGAATTTTCTTGAAAAGCTCCGAGAAAACAAAGTGCAGCAGCATTGCTAAGCTAGAGAATTCAGAGTGATAATCACCAGTTAGCTCAGAATCCTTTCCTGCAGAAAGCTAGGTAGACTTAGCAGATACAAAAAACTCTGACATCGGGGCGCCTGGAACGTAAATACACACAGCCACTTGCTGGGGACACTAGGAGTGCTATCAGCCAGGTCCTCCCGAAGGGACAAGGAAGCCGAATGACCTGCAGAAGGAAGTCAGCGCGTACCTCAATTGGGACACGAGGTTAATCAGTAAATAGAGCTATCAACTGGGGCCAGGCTGAAGTGACTCTTACCAACACAGAAAATACTGAAGAACCAAGAAACAATCAGAGGATAATTAAAGATTGAGAATAAACTTGCTCTCACTAGAAGAGGGGGGGTTGCACAATACAGCCTTTAGCAACAACCACTGGTCATTTTTTTCTGTCTCCCGAGGAGGGAAATAAGTCTCTCGTACTCCCTGCACACTCTCCAGCATGCTCAAAACAGCGACTGAGATGCAGCCACTGTCTCCAGCATTTGAGCAAACATTTGATATTAAGAGAGAAAAGTGGTTTACGTTAGCAAACCAAAACCACTGCATAATAAGTCAGAGAAGTAATTGCAGACATTTTTATGCATAAATTTACCTAAACTTCTAGGAAATGGTGCTTGCTACAGGGTGCGTACACAGACGCTATGTGACTGAAGAGAGGATCACAGAGCAGAAACATCTTTCTTGCTTGTCTTCTCTTTGAAAAACTGAATATGGATCCTGGAGATCAAGGTGTAAGTCTCTAGACATAATTAGTGTCAAAACTCCAGATGAAGATGAATGAACTTCCTTCCTTCACCGAGTATGTACATCCATTCCTGAGTGTAAGACATTATGTACAACATTAAATTGGGAGGGACAGGTTGATAAGCTGGAGGACAAGGCTGTCTGTCATTCAGTGACTCTTCAAAAGCCTGGAGAATTGGGCTGACAGAAAACTTGAAGGCAAATGCAAAGTCATGCAGCTCAGATGGACTAACTCCCACGTAACAATATAGGCTGAACGTCGACAGGATACAACACAGCTTTGCAGAAAAGGACCTAGAGCTGCTGGTGGACCAGGCTTGGAACACGAGTCAGCAGCGTGCCCACCCAGAGGGGGTTAATCACATTCTGGTCTATATGAGCAAGCACGCAGCCAGCAGGACAAAGGAAGCTGTATATTTGGAACAGAGGAAAAACTCCCTTCTGGTCTGCAGACCTCATGCGGAGTTCGTGTCCAGCTTTGAGCTTTCCGTTACAAGGAGGACACTGACATAATGAAGCAAGTCCAGCAGTGGGCCATCAGGATTATTAGGGAGTTGGAACACGTGACAAATAAAGAAAGGCTTGGTTGAGCCTTAAGAAGAGGTACCTAAGGGGAGACCTTCCTGCCATGCTCTAATATTTAATGAAAGTTTACAGAGAAGATGGAGCCAGACTATTCTTGGACAGAAAAAGGAACAGACACAAGCTGGAAGAAGGAAAATTCCAACTGAGGATCATCAAAAGAATTTCTCCCATGAAGAGTGGACAAACACTGGAACAGGTTGTCCAGAGAGGCTGTGCAACCTCCATCCTTGGAGATATTAAAAACCCAGCTCGACACGGCCCTGAAGAACCTGATCTAACTTCGAAGTTGGCCCTGCATTCTGCAGGGATTTGGAACAGATGTCCACTCCAACTGAAATTTTTCCAGAGTTCTACATCCTACATGGAAAATCCTCCCTTCAGTTCACTTTGCTGCCTCTTGCCTTTTCTAATTCTACCCAAAACATTCACCAACCTCTCCGGAAGTCTGGTGTGGATTTTAATTATTGGACTGGAAAATATCAAAGGCTCCTGACCTGTTATCACTAGTGATGCAGGCAGCACAGGTTCCTGTTGGTTCTTCATTCTGCTCATAGTAATGGGCATCCACATGAGCTTCCTCAGCCTTCTTCTTCAAGATCTCTCCAAATTTATCTTTGCCAATGCACCCAAAGAAAGTTGCAGCTTTGTAAGGGCTCTGAATCATCCACTGCAGATTGACAGAAAAACAAAAAAACACACAAAAAATTACAAAGTTAGCATGCCTGATACATTATTTATTGCTATTTTTTTCTCTCCACTGGTCATATTTAATTCTGTGCTTACAGAGCACTGTGACATACAGAACACTTCTACGCATGAAGTAAAAAACATCTGGTACACCAGGGGAGGGAAGGTCAGCAAAGAATAAAAAAATTTACCCTTAATGATCCCATTGAGCGTTTAATATCTAATGTAAAGCTTAAATACACATGGTTCGCTATCAAATAAAGTAGTCTGTTTTTATAAGGTAATTCAAAAGAAGTTCCCTTGCTCAAAGGAGATGCCCCTACACCTACATTTAATCAAGCAACATCTGGTATCTTTGAAGAAAATTTGTATAAAAAGACAAGATAAAAAAAAAACCCAAACAAAACCCCCCACAAAAACCAGAGACAGCACATGAGGAAAACAATACATTTGAGAAACCTAAGAAGAAACATCCTGCAACATTCACCATATATACAAAAACTAAATGGCACTGAAAATAACCATTTGTGTCTACCATTTAATTATACACAAAAAAGGAAATGCTCCCCATTTACATTGTTAAACCATGCACGAAAATATCTATCTCCAACTTTGTTAAGAACCGTTCTGTCACTTGAATTGTAAAGAAAGAGCGCAGTGTTGCTAAGGTGCCAGGTTATTTCACAATGCTCCTCTTTTATTAATACAAACTATGTATCATTCAACTGTAAATGTAGCACCATTTTGTACTAAGTTTAAAAATAGCATTTCGCAGCAAAGTAAAATCAAGAGTAAATTAAAAAAATAAATGTGAAGAAACAATCACCCTGCTGGTGGTGAGTCAACCAACTGAAGTCATTATAATTCACTCTAATTACAGTCAGAAAGCTTATCCACTCAATCTATAGTATGAATTAAAGGCTACATCAATTTACTGCTATACTAAAACCCTACTTATAATTGTTTCCTAATCAAGATTTAAATAAACGATAATGTCTCCATTACAAAGCAGCATTAGTGGTAGCTGTGGGTTGTAGAAAGGTCAAGTAACTGAGTTGCAAATACATGCTTAGTCACAGCTTTATTACTTCCAGCTCCAGCAGAAAAAAAAAAAAAAAAAAAAAAAAAATCTTTAGTCATGTAAAAATCATCATTAATAAGGCAAAGGTGGACAAAAGTTGCCAGGCCTCTCTCCTGCCGCAATTTAATATATATAAAGTTTAAGGACAACAAAGATTGTGTCATCATGTGGTGGCAGCATTCAGTGTCTCTTTCATGAAATGCACACTACATATGCTCTGCTAATCTGTTCCATATCACTCAATATAAGTTAAGAAACTTCCTAACAAGAGGATTATCTATGTTACCTTTGTATTTTACATACGTTTGCGCATACATAGCACATTTTTGCACAGCGTTCATTTGGGACGTCTTAGGCACCGTAATACTTTATATTTGGAGGTATGGTTAAGCAGAACAGATTATTTAACAAGGCTAAAGATGTTGTGACCTACTGTAAGCAAACAAGGAACCAATTTCCACACCAATAAGAACAGCAGTACCTGAAGCCTCGTGTTCCACGTTGAAAAGCATGCCTCTCTCTCAGGAATAACACGAATAAATAGAGATCACTATGAACGGCATTTACCAAAGCATCCCACCCCAACAACTCTTCAAAAAACACAAGACTTCAAACTGCACCTTAGGCTTACAATATTTCATCAAACTGTGTAACTTTTCCATCCTTTATATCTAAAGTCTGACAACATTTGGAGCAGCAGCGAGTAATATTTCACATACATCTGTGAAAAAATGAATTTCTGTTCAAGTATCACAGTTGTGGCTATTGTACTGTACCTAACTGTCACAGCCCTTAATTTAAATGTAAGTAAAGTCATTCTTGAGAATCAGAAGTCATGATATTGGATTTCTTGAGATGAACCTCTGTACATTGTGCAGACCACTTCTTCCACAAGCAGTGATTCTGCTCACCCCCAGGATTATGTGAGAGACAGGTTTGGTATGTAGGGGTCTATTCCCACTATACAGATATTCTTCTCATGGGAACATCTGAGCTAAGTCAACCAACACTGAGGAAGATGGAGAAGTTGTTCAGCAGCGTTTCCGGAAAGATCCTCTCATCACAGATCTCCAGTTACAAAATATTCCCAAACTGCCTGGAATTATCTCCACACACTCCAACAATAACGGCGAGGAGGTGTTGCTACTTGCAGAACTCCTCCAAACAGTTCCTCCTTTCCTCAGCTAAAAGGCTACACATTAGTAAAGGCAAAAAACAGGTATCTCATTGCAAATCTGATGAAACGAAACCACGGAAGTATCTCTGTGGCATCCCACTGAAACTGCACCTAGCGGAACGAGTCACAGCAGGCAATTTGTGCACAGTGTGAAAAAACAGAAGAGACAGAACAACATCTTCAAGGCAGACTCTGGAGCATTTTTTTTTTAAATTTGACCCTGGATTGGAGTTTAATTTTCAATAACCTGATATGGAAAAAACAGGCTTCTATGAGCTACTTCACACGCCATTGCTGCTGTTGTCACCCGCATCATTTTGGCTAAAACACCCTAAACGGGAACAGGGGTCAGCCATCACCAGGCATTTCTCACCATGAAGCAGTCATGCAGCACTATATCCTACATCAAATGAAGGCCAATAACAAACCGCACACATTAGTGCCAGGTATATGGTTATATAAACTGCAAATTTATTTTATAGATTTATGTGGAATGCAAGATTTAATTGAATGAAAAAGACTCTAGACAGAAGCGGAAAATGACCCAGCTCAGCAGGCGCTGGCATAATGAGTTAATTATCCAGGGTCTGGCGAGGCAGCGAGGCAGCTATTAACTAACAGTACTGACAGTCAGGTCAGGAGAGGTTGGCACCTGGCCGCACCATGAATCCTCACCATCACCCGCAGGAATCGGAGGCTGCTAATGGCCCAAAGACAGAAGTGTCAAAAGTAGGAACTTATCGCTAAGGAACAAGACAGCCTCCGGAGCGGGATACCACAAGGAAACTCCAAATCTAGACTGGCTTATGAAATCTAATGTGTTTCCCCATCCTGAAGTTTTCTTCCGTCAACGCAGCTTGGACATCAGGTACACACAAGGACCTGACCTTCTCAGTTCGGATCAGCTCCCGCGACAGAGGAAGGAGCATGGGAAATGTTCACCTTTCACATGTTCTCTTGAATTAAACAGATTGCATTTTACTTACATTTTTGTTGCATGCACCCTGTTAAGCCAAAAGCAAATATTAACTTTAAAAAAAAAAATAAAAATCTAGTTCTTGCATTTAGCATAAACCCTTCTTAAAGTTAGGCTGATTTCAATAAGCATAATCTAATCTCAGATCACCCTACCCCTGCAGGCCCATTACAATTAAATACTGAAGCCAGTGCTTCCACAAGAGGCCAGCACCCTGGCCACTCCAGCACACACTAGAGTGACAGAATCCTTCTCTCCTTGTTTTCATGAGGCTAACTTGGGCTCACAGTAGTAGGAGCACCTGTTCAAGCGTTTTTTCATGATCAGAGTGAACAGGGTGAACAATTTGGCATGCTTTAGCTCTCAGGGCAGTGTAAGAACCTGTGTGTCCCAGGGAGCGGGTGGCAACTGCAGAGAAAAGCATCATCTTTTCTTGCAAGATGTTGAGATGCCAAGAAAACTCGGTAACAAGCAAAACTTCTGAAGACTCAATTGTGGCTTTGTGAGACTGCTTGGAGTTAACTATGTCCCACTCTTTCACATCCTCAGACTCAAAGATGTGGTACACCTATCTCCCACCTTTATCCAACTAGAAAATGGCTCTGAAAGCAACCTTTTCTCCGAGTTCCAGAAGCATTTCTAGAAGCATTTCTTTCATCACTAGAGAAGGGACTTGACTTTGATTTGCTACTCAGCGCTGTCTGTTGAGAACAATATTCAAGATAAGATGACAGCTACCTGAAAGGTCCCTTACCCCCCCCCAATGCCCCTTCATACTATGCAAAAGAAAATCAATGGTCTTGAGGAATTAAAGAAAGAAAAGGAGAGAATGGAGTTCTTCGATTCGTACATCCCAAGCTTCTCCTGTTTCACTTAAGAATGCCACGCTTCTGCCACAGGGGCAGAGTCCAGTACCCTGTACCACACCACCTGATCTGCACGCAAAGCTTTTCTCCGCTGTTCCTGCCAAGTTCACTGTAGAGGAGGACCTCTACCTGACAGGCAAAAAGCAGCAACACTAAACAGTTGATCTAATTTACCTCCCTATCTGCAGCTGCAAAGACACTTCCCCTGCAACAGCAGAGTTTGCTCCTGCTGGGTCTCAGCACACAATCCCATAAGACTTACAAAGAAACATCACACTGATGAAGCTTCAGACAGCTTTACAACCCTCTGACTGAAACAAAGATGCTTCAGAAATTATTTTATTTTACTGCGACTCTAGGCTTTGCTGTTAAGTGCTACTGTTAACTGGCCAACGTCGATGACCAGAAGGTCAGGTGACCTGACCAAGGACGCTGACGAAGACAGTGGCTATCAGTCCCACCTTGTTCTCCATCTGAACTCCTTAGCTCCTGAATTCTTTTTTAAAGCTGCAGCCAGCAGCGCATTGCCACAGCTGTCAGTCACCTTAAGCTAACAATGCCAAAGCATATGAAGCTTTGCTGAGACTGACATACCTTCTGCACACAGGAGTTTGCGGCTGTAGACTTGAATCCTAAATGCCTAGGACTGACAACACAACTGGAAGCGTTATGCCCCTTCGCAGTGAAGGATCTTCAAAACTCATTAACACCGAATACAGACATCTGAAGTGCATCTAAAGTGCCTTCTTTGAAGCTGGACTCTTCTCTGCATGATGTGTCAAATCTGATCTTATTTTAAATTGCAGCTCACAGAGCAAAGGACTCCAAAGACCTAAAATTAGCTAAGACTTAAGATGCTTGCTAAAATCTAAACTAAACA